TGCGCGTGGGGAGTGCGCAGGTGCGGGCGATGCTGGGCTAGGCAGGTTGCGCAGGTGCGAGTTGGAGGTCGCAGGTGCGAAACCTGGGGCGCAGATGCGAAAAGGGAAATGTTGGACAGGCTTCGCAGAAGAGGAGGAAACGTGCAGATGCGCCTTTGCAGGTGCGACGGATTTTGCTGCAGATGCAGAGTCTGGGCGGATAAGTGAGTTGTGCAGGTGCGGCTCCTTGGACCGCAGGTGCGGCCGCGCGGGGCCGCAGGTGCGAGATTCCTGGGCAGAAGGTATATAGGAACACTTCGCGAATTTTGGTGCATTCTTCACCATTTCTATTCGGTTTTTGGAGCTTTTGGGAGAGACTTGAAGAGGGAATCAAGGGGGTTTCGTTGAGGTAAGTTACTTGAGCCCTAATACTTGTATATATGGTGATTTTCCGTTGTTTAATCATGGTAATTAGTGAAAATGAGGGGTTAGGGCTTGGAATTTTTGGAGAGTAATTTAAGGATTTGAAGGACCAAACGATGTCGGATTTTGATGAATTTGGTATGGTTAGACTCGTGAGTGAATGAGCTTTCTAGTTTTGTAAATTTTGTTGGATTTCGAGACGTGGGCTCGGGGGCCAGGTTTGAGCCAATTTCGGGTTTTGGTCTAATTTTATAGCTTTTCTCATGGAATTCATTCCATTAGCGCGTATTGATGGTATTGTACTAATTGTGAATAGATTCGGAGTATTTGGAGGCCGAGTCCAGAGGCAAGAGCATTGAGGGGTAGAGATTTGACCAGTTTGAGGTAAGTAACGATTGTAAATCTAGTCCTGAGGGTATGAAACCCCGAATTTTGTATTATTTTACTATTTTTAGTGACGCATATGCTAGGTGACGGGCGTGTGGGCGTGCACTGTTGGGGATTGTGACTTAGTCCGTCCCGTAGCAACTGTAAAGTTGCATACTTTGTTGAAACTATATGATACTTATATATTTTAGAAAGAGTTTCTGGAAATTTGGGCTGAATGCCATGTTTGGGCCTAGTGCTAGTTCTGTTTGGACCCTTAGGGGCTTTTTCTTACTATCCTCTCATTGTTTTCGATTGAAAATCTATACTCAGTCATGATTATACTTGTTTACTGCATAACTCAGTTTTATGACTCTATTTTGATGCATATAAATGTTGTTTTGGGCTGAAAACCCTGTTTTTACTGAAATGCCCGAGTGACTTGAGAGGTTTATAACTGAGTGAGGCTGAGGGCCTGATTGTGAGGATGAGTGTGGATCGGGGCTGCCCGCCTGCATCATACTTTATTATTATAGCATGTGAGTTGTCCGTGCAGCACGTGAGTTGTCCGTGCAGATTATAGCGCTTGGGCTGAAGGAGCCCCTCCGGAGTCTGTACACACCCCTAGTGAGCGCAAGTACCTACTGAATGCGAGTGCCGAGTGATGAGTGACTGGGAGACATGAGTGATTGTGAGGTATGCCCGAGTGGAAAGAGTGATTGTGAGGTATGTCCGAGTGGCAAGAGTGATTGTGAGGTATGCCCGAGTGGCAAAAGTGACTGTGAGGTTTGCCCGAGGGGCTGTATATGAGTGATGTTTTGCCCGAGGGGCTATTTATGATTTCATCATTTTTGCTCACCTTTGTATTTTTTCTCTGTTTGAAAACTGTTGAAAAATATCTTTAAATGATTTTTACTGGAACTGGGTTAAACGGGATATTTTGATTCAAATCCTGATTTTTAAAAGCATGTGGTATTTTACTGAGTTTTTCTGATATGAATATTATATGCTATATTGCTCGTCACTACTACTAAGTCTTTATTTATTGTTATTACTTACTGAGTCGGCGTACTCACGTTACTCCCTGTACCTTGTGTGTAGATTTAGGTGTAGCTAGACACGGTAGTAGTTATTGATTGTTCTGGTTGCATATTTTCTTGGAGATAGCAAGGTAGCTGTTTGGCGATCGCAGCCCCTGCTCTTCTCCCTCTTATCTTTCTCTAGTTGTATTTAGCTATTTTTCAGGCTGAGTTAGCCTTGATATTGTTAGAGAGATTGTAGTAGATGCTCATGACTAATGATACCCCGATGTCGGACTTTTTCTTCCGCACTTTTATTTTGATTGGAACTCCTTTACGAAGGTTTTTATGTTAAATAACATTGAAATTATCTTTGAAATGAAAATATCGGTTTGTTTTGGAAATGAGTCGGCTTGCCTAGTTCCACGATATGCGCCATCACGACAGGGGTTAGTATGGGTTGTGACACTATGTAGATGACATACTACTTACTGGAGATGACTTGGAAGAAATTCAGCATATCAAGGGTTTTCTAAACACTAAGTTCAAGGTCAAGAATCTAGGAGACATGCATTATTTTCTAGGGATGGAAATTCTGCGAGAAAATGAAGGTTTTATTGTAAGCCAAAAGAGATTTACCTTGGACATGCTGCAGGAATTTGATGTATCTCATTTTCCTCGAGTCAGTTCCCCTCTTGATCCTTCTTCCAAGCTTCAAGCTAATGATGGGCACCCTTTGCAAAATCCAACAGTATTTCGTCATCTGGTTGGTAATTTGAACTATCTCACTAACACTCGCCTGGACCTTTCTTTTGCAGTCCTTACTCTCAGTCAATACTTGCAGAGACCCTGTATGTCTCATTTCTCTGCTGCCTTACGCGTGCTCAAATATTTGAGCTCTGATCCAGGACAAGGAATCCTTCTCTCAGCAGAATAATCATTCTCCTTGCTTGCATTTTGCGATGCTGATTAGGCCTCTTGCAAGGATTCTAGGAGGTCCGTCAGTGGATTCTTCATCACACTAGAAGGAGCACCCATTTCCTGAAAATCAAAGAAACAAGTGTCAATCTCTCTATCTTCTTCAGAGGCAGAGTACAGATCTATGAGAAGAGTAATTGCAGAACTTACATGGTTAGTTCGACTCCTTGAAGATCTCTCTGCACTAGTAAGTCTCTCCATGCCTCTTCTTCCACGAACGCACAAAACATGTCGAGATTGATAGTCATTTTGTGCGTCAACAATTCCTTTTCAGCTTAATTACCCTATCCTTTGTTCCTTCTAAAGACCAAATGGCGGATCTCTTCACAAAGCCACTTTTTGGGGTTTCTCACTCCGAGATTTTGAGCAAGTTAGGGCTCGCAAAGTTACACTCCAACTTGAGGGGATGTTGGGAAGAAGAAACCCCATCCTAATTCTAAGATTCATGGAGATCTGCTTAGAGATAGAGAAGAAGGGTGAAGAAGAAGAAGAAGATGACCTAGAGTCTGTTCCGACCAAATGCTGAGTTCGATATAACCCAAGTTATACTCAGCTCAATGTTTGGGACACGTGGACGAGTCACGACCCTTGGATGAGTTTATGATAGATCAATTATACACCATCTAATAAAATTGATACTAGAAGCTTCCTTCCCTCACGTGACTAACATGTGAGGGAATATAGTTTGTTATAGGAATGGAATATTTCTGTTATTGCTGGACAAATCAGAGTAGGACAACTGTATACATTCTCTTTCTTTTGCTATTCTTTATTTTCAGCTGCAAATGTGTATATATACATGTATAAAGCAATGAATACACAAAAAAAAAAATTTCAATCAGATTTCTTCTTCAATTTCGTACAAAAAATGTTTTATCTAGTCTTTTTAAAATTTTTATTCTAACATATATCTTTACATGTTACATCTATGATCAAACCACTACATCTCATAGGGGGTTGGGAATTATGAAGTTAAACGGTGTCGTTATTAGTGGTGACACTCTGTTTTGATAACGCAATTTGGCATATATCCGCTGTGAATATCTGGTATCAAATCCACAGAAATATCTAAAACTTTAGATTGACCAAACTTAGGGTTTATCGTATTTGTATATTTGCTATGGCGACGCCGGCGAACCCTCCGAACTCCGAATCCGATACCGACATAACAAATCAGGTTACGAACTCCAAATCCGGCCCGAATCCTGAATTCACTTCTGACGCGTTAACCGCCACGATTCCATCTAGTCCTGTCGTCTGCCTCCTTAGGTTCGCCGGTGACTCTGCCGCTGGCGCCTTCATGGGCTCCATTTTCGGCTACGGTAATTGTCTATGCATTTTTCCGTCAACTCATTTTCTTCTATGGTTCAGTAGTCTTCAATTTTCAGTAAGTTTGTTACTTCAGCTAGAATTTTGTGAAATATGAGAAATGAGTTACTTCTGATTGTTATTTTTGGGACTGCGTTCTCTCCGGAATTGTCTATTTTATGCATTTGACAACCTATGTCGGTATCAGTTGTAAATATTCATCTAGACGCTGTGCGTATCAACCTCGTTTGGTGCTGTAGCTAAGCCGTTGTGGTTTTTGGATCTGTTGCAATGGTCTGCTTACCACTCTTGTATGGTTGTTGAGTGCTTACATGGACTATAGTCGTGTATTAATCTCTCCGTCCCAATTTATCTCACATTGAGCATGGAGTTTAAAGAAAGAAAGAGTTGTTGGAACTTTTGGTATAATACAGCCATTTTCTGGCATTAAAATAGTGTTATTTTGTGTGTAAAATAAGAAGCTTAAAGTTAAATTATTTCTAAATATAGAACTTGTCATTCTTTTTGGTATAGACTAAAATGATATTGCCTCAGATTAAATGAGACGGGGAAAAGTGCATTATAATTTATAAGTGTGGCTACTATTTTATAAGTGAGGCAGTTGAAGGCAGCTCATCTGAATCCCACTACTGATTTCTCTTGTCGTCTTCAGTCATTTACTATATTTGATGACAGCCTATTGTCTTGCTTATGCCTTTTCCTTTGACGGAAGCCTCTTATTTTTGTAGGTGTAATGAGCCTCGAGAACCCTACGTTTTCAGATTGTTTGTTATTTCTTCTATTTATTTGTGTAATGGATATTTACTAGGAATTTTTAAGGTTCCTTTAGGTGATAACAGATCGGTAATCTTTCTCCCACCATCACGACTTGAAGTTTGAGTTTTCCTGTAACAAAAACATTCTTTTGTTGCTATTGATAACCATGCATTTTCAGAGAAAGTCCTTTTCTTAATGCTTCTGTAAGATTAAATGGCTTTTGGGGATTTCATAAATGGAATTCCCTTGATGCTTTTCAGAGAAAGTCCTTTTCTTAATGCTTCTGTAAGATTAAATGGCTTTTGGGGATTTCATAAATGGAATTCCCTTGATGCNAGTTTTCCTGTAACAAAAACATTCTTTTGTTGCTATTGATAACCATGCATTTTCAGAGAAAGTCCTTTTCTTAATGCTTCTGTAAGATTAAATGGCTTTTGGGGATTTCATAAATGGAATTCCCTTAATGCCAAAGATTTGACCTTATAAGTTGGCGATGCATTCAATTTTGCTCAATGCGGTGTTCTATTTCAGGGTCAGGATTGATAAAAAAGAAAGGCTTTAGAGGATCCTTTGGGGAAGCAGGAGCTTCGGCAAAGGTATCACAATCTTTGCTTGATGATATTTTTTGCAAACTACAGTAGAGCTAATATTACTGCCTCTTTTTTGATCTATCAAATTGTGACTTGGTTCAATTCTCCTTTCTAGACTTTTGCAGTTTTGTCAGGAGTTCATAGTTTAGTTGTCTGTTTCCTGAAGAGATTACGGGGAAAAGATGATGGTATGGCACACACTTTGTACAGCCAGAGAGTGAAAACACCTTTTATTTCATTTGACTTTCTCTTCTTTCTACAGTTATCAACGCTGGAGTAGCTGGATGTTGCACTGGTCTTGCGCTAAGTTTTCCAGGTACTTCAAACATTTCCCACTTTAAAACATAGTTATCAGGTCTATGGACTGCTCTTTTTATTGTCAATTCCTTGAGTGGAGACCCGTGAGGTCTCAGGCTCAAATTCCAGCGGAGAAAAAAACACTAGATTATTTCTTCCCATCTGATTAAGCCTTGGTGGACAGAGTTATCGGGTACATGTGGTGGTGGGAGGTAACAGGTACGAGGTAACAGATACCTGGTGGAATTAATCGAGATGCGTACAAGTTGGCCCGGATGGGGCATGTCATGGTGGTATTGTTTCCTTTTTTAAAAAAAAATTTGAGGTCGACTGGTTGAGTTGGGCTTAACTTTGTTACATAAAAGCACAATTAGGCATCTGGAGCTACAAAGAACACTTACTGCATAACTGGAGAATCTTTATGTCTGCGGAAAATGTTCAGGGATCTCACTGCACTTGTTAAAATAGGTAAGGACCTCCAATGCTTTTGACTCTACAATATCATGAAATATATAGCTACAAAAGCATATGGTAGGAAAGATCTATTGATTGGCTCGTAACTTGTAGTTCTCCCCCAGTTTCTGTATAAAATTGGGGAATCAACAGTGCACTAGGAAGGTGGTTTGCATACCTGCTGATGCCAGATGGAGAATAAACTTGGAAATAGATATCTATAGAGAAGAGATGTAAAAACTTGTGGATTTGAGAGGGTACATTTTCATACACCCTCCTCCATTAGGAAGAGATGCTAGAACCAGTGTTCAACTGCTCCCGTCGTTGCAGAGTGTGGGCATCTGTGCATTGAAGATGTGGAGAGTGTTGTTAAATAAGGTGGGAGATTTAAGGATGTCACTTTGCTCACCACCATAATGAAACATATTCGAAAAATGGGTTCGGATTGAGAGAATTAGAAGGAAAGTTGGTGAAAAAGTAAAGATGAGCAAGAGGGTACAACTGTGTCTTTCAATATTTAGATTTATTCCAGCATGTCATGATCGTTTCTTGCCTTACTCAGGCCCATGGTGTTAAGCTCAACAAATGAAAATGATTAGATTGGCTGATATTCATGTATTTCTATGATGTTGTAAAGTGCACATAATTTTCGGTTATAATTTGAATTCTCCTTATTTGCTTTATCGAAGCATTTTAGTTTTCTCTATTTTTTCCTTTTTTTAATATTTAGTTTCTCATTATTATACACAAGTTGTGTCAAGCTCTAAAGAAGTGCTGCTCGTTAAAAGGTGTTCTATTTCTACATTTAACTTGTCTATTATTTTTCTCTCCTCTTTGCATTGATCTATTATTAAATTTGGGATGACATCTGGGTTTCACTATAAGTGTTAGTCAACCCTTTTGGCAAAGTGGAGTGAGAATTAATCTCTCTTGGTTATTGATGCTTCTCAGGTGCACCTCAGGCGCTATTACAAAGTTGTCTCACCTTTGGGGCTTTTTCATTCATCATCGAAGGTCTTAACAAACAGCAACCTGCATTAGCACTAACTGCGCAAACGAATGTCAAAAGTAGGCAATATGGTGTGCTTGCTCCTTTGTCACTACCTCTACCAAGTGAGCTTAAGGAATCCTTTTCATTCTTCTGCCAGTCCCTTGAAAAACGTCGCAAGCACAACAATCATGGTTCTGGTTAGATAGTGAAGAAATGATGTGGTTCTCAACCTTATGTCAATGTTGGCATGATTATGAAGTTTTGTAAATTGTAATTGACTTTTATTCTGCTTTTAAGAGTTATGGATCGTGGTTTTCTAGCTGGTGTAGCCAAGTTTATTTATTAATACGCAATCTGGATAAGTTGTCTAGTGACTTGTGTGACCAATTTCTTCTTAGAAGTATCGTTTTATTTTCAAGAAGAATTATCTCCTAATACCCTGATCAGAAATTGGGGATAACGTTCATAAGAACTGAGTGTATTGCTTTACACTAATANACTTGATCGTAATGCAAATAAAAGTATGAGTACCATTATTCTATAGGCTACGACGGTAACTTATGAAGTTAATCAATTATCCAAAGCATTTAAGAATTACTAGGAGAAGCGTAGAGAAAATCCTACATTTCTATTTCCATTTCCAAATAAGAAGATATTTACTTTTATTGAGAGAGATTTTAGCGGATGTATTAATGGAAGTATTTCTTAGAAGATTTTGCGGGATACTTAATGAAAAGGAGATATTAATTAATTTTGAAGAGAGAATCAGCATGACCACTTTTAGCATTGTTACAAAATCAAATCTTTCCTTATCCATTCAATTTTTTATTGAAATAAGATCCGCTCAAGAATTTAATACTAATACTACGCTAATCTCTTAGAATTAACAGTGATATGCAATTTGCATAACATCAGAAATACAGGATTATGAAGCCATTGAAAAACCTCATTCGAATGTTAAGTGAATGCTTTCAACCAGCTCCTCTTCCCCGTCCCAATGAAGCCAATCTTGCTTTCATGGTTAATCTTCCTTTTTTCCCTCTTTTATTCTAATATTGTGACATATGATCAGAATCTAAACACGTTCAATTTTTATGTTCTCACCACTCATATTTCGATTATGATTCAGGAATTAATATTTATTTTAGTGATTTTTTCATATGCATCTATATTTCGTGTGAAAATATACATTTACTTAAACCTGTTGCATCCTCCTCTCAATATGATTGATGTAAACTTTTCTTTTGTAAAAAAAATCTGCAGGTTTGTGTAATTAAAGTTAAAGTTCGTTCTGTTGGTTGGCAAAAGGCAGTCAACAGAGTCTTGAGTAGCACAAAGGGTAGGGTATGGTAGAGTTCAATATTTGTGTTTGCATATCGATGTTGTAGCTGATAACTAGTTTTGTTTTCGAGATTACTAATTTTACTTTTTTTTTTTATAGATGGTGACATATACGTAGTTATCTTTTTGGTGATATAAATATAAAATCTCTTTTATATCGTCTGTGTATATTAGTTAAACTCTTTAATTCTTTGTTATTTGGCACGGTATAGCATATGTGTGATCTTGGGCTAGTTTGTTGAGAGGCTCATCATAATTTTTATTTTTAAATGCAGGAGTGCGTCAATTCAAATTGAAAGAAGATGGAAAGGT